CACCAGTGACTGAATAAATGCAAGACAAATAAGTTTAAAGCTATATTATGGGACATTCTAGGCAAAGCAAAAACATCTTTATAGAGACAAGCACAGGGCGGATCATTACGTTTTTCTGATCTGTATTGTTATGTTGTGTTTTGGTTCATTCACATGTTTAGGACACAATCCCTGCATTTAGGTTGAGTTTTTCTGCTAAACAGAAAACACTCTCTTCCACCTTGTGATGTCATGTACAGGAAGTGCTCCATTGCGGTTTTAAACTCCATACACTTTCACAAGAACCATTTGGATGATTTCAGTCCTGGATTGTCTACCTAACCAAAGGTAAAAGGTAGTTAACTTGAAAACTAGTGTTGTACTCAAGACCGGTCTTGGTCTCGAGATCGGCCTTGAGACTGCTTTTTTTCTGGCTTCGTCTCTGACTCGGGCGCATTTGGACTTGGTGTTGTTTCGATTTTGATGGCGCTTAGTCTCGGTCTTGTTTCGGAACTCGAGGTCTGACAGTCGACGAGTACGATCATATATCACGACGGCCGGTAAATGCGCAGAGGCTGCTAAATATCACTGCAAAACCAGTAAGATAATGTAACTGTAAATGTTATGAACTTGAAAAAAAAACTTGATTCACTTTGAAGTTGTTTTGCAAGTGGAAGTGGAAGTGGGATTAAAGAAGGGATTCTCAAACTGTGAGTGAGGGTCCAAACAAGGGGTGCAGAGTGTTTAAGAGCAGTATAGATTGCTTGGCCTATTTTAAGCCTAAATGAACATTAATCAGATAAAATGGAGATAGATTTATAAAAGCATTGATACACATGTGCCAAAATAACTGTAAAATACAAATTAATGTAGGAAATGACAAAGATGGTCTTGATTTGGTCTTGATGGGCCGTGGTCACGGTCTCGGCCTTTAAAAGTCTTGGTCTTGTCTCGGTCTCGACCCTCAGAGGTCTTGGTCTTGTCCAGGTCTTGGGTAGCCAGGCTGACGCTACCTAGTGCCTCCGCTCAATTTCATTTCTCTCCAGAGACTAGGTCAGGAATCGGAATACACTAGAAAGTTTGCAAGAACCCCAGAAGTTGTAAACCGTGCACCGGCCAATCAGCGAAGAGCTGTGAAGCCATGACGTCAAACTCAAGCTCCTGTCAGGGTCCCTTTTGTGGTACAACACAACAGTAAACAAAGCGGTTAAGATGGATGTAGATGAAGGCATACATTCTGTGTTGGCAATGATTCCCAAGATTGAGGATTTAAAGCCGGAACAAAGAGAATATTTGGTGTATTTTATCAAGGGGAAAGACTTTATTGCCCTTCTTCTACGGGATTTAGTGCATTACATACATCATGACCAAATAGCACCGACTGGTTAAATATAAAAAAGTACCTGCTTACCATCGAGTGAACGAATCCTAATGCTGCGAGGTCAAACGGTTTCCACGAAGTGAAAATCAGATTAGGTCTCGGGACCCTGTGTTCTCGGACTGGCCTTGGTCTCGATTAGTACGGTTTTGACTACAACACTATTGAAAACTAACACTTCATGACAACAATAGCAGAGATGTAGACGGACTAATAATAAAGGGTTACTCAAACATGTACGAATGAAACAAAACACTCCAGGTATGTTTTTGATGAGGAAACAACATTGTAACGTGGTTTAAAGAGAGTAAATTTTACAATATAGAACATTCAGTAATCTAAATAACTTCACCTATAAAAGAATCCATGTATTCTGGTTGGGAAAAACTGATGTACAGGAATATCGGCTAGTCAAAACTTTAGATATTTCTCTTTGCAGCGTAGATGGCGCTGGGAATGTATGCATGACCTAACGAAGATAAAATGTGCAGAAAACAGATGAGGGGTCAGATTGGCATTGTAAATAGTGAATGGTGTTTCTGTGGTTCCTCTCCGATTTGAACAAGTGCGAGAGATCTGAACATAGAGACGGACCACCCAGAAGCTCAATACTCACAGCTCACTTGTTTCTTAGCTCTGGGAGACTTGTCAGAGCACGTAGACTTCTCAGCTGTTTATTGATAGCTATCAGCACTTTCCCATTTCTGCAAAACACAACAACATAGAGACACAGTGTTTGGGACTATGCTTCCTTCAATGGTGACTGGGGCTGAAAAGAATCTATAAACACTTCCACGACATACAAGGGAACAGTTCTTTCCCATCAAAAGTTTCAAATTAAAATCAGTCATGTGCGTAATGATAAAAAGGTGGGTCTTAAATGCTTTTGATTTGCAGCGGATGTAATCAACATTCCCTGGGGGGGTGATGCTAACTGTAGAACTGACTGCAGCTTAAAGCGACCCAAATCTGATTTTTTCACCCCTAAGCAAGCTGTACCTGATCTTTTAATGTCAGTCTGAACAACACAGATCAGATTTTTTTTTAAATGCGACCCAGGCCACTTGGATATGTGCTCCTAAATCCGATACATATCCGATCTTTGGACACGCAACTTCAGTCTGAACGGCCAGGTCGCATTCATCCCACCTACACGTCAGGCTCGGAGTCTAGTCAATAGAGGGAAAGCGAGGTTAGCAAGTTTATTAATATTTGGGGGGATCGCTGCATTCAGGCCAAACTGGAGGAGTCTTATTGGAACTGGGCGTGTTTTGAAATGACCGACAAAGCTATAGGTTACAGGTTAAAAAAATAAAGTGCCTGAGAGCCAAATACAAGGAGGCTTAAGTCTCAAACAAACGTGTAACCTGTCCATTTTATGAAGGACCATATTTTGTGAGACCTAAGTTCAGCCTTTAGGCAACTTCCGTAAACACTGAGCACGCTCACTGCATGTGATGTCGTCGTGTCCTCTAATGCCCATGCGGGACACTTTTGAGGCATTTAAAGTTCACACTGGAGATCACATAGAAGTCGTCTTTAATTGGAAATGTGAATGACCTCGCAAAAAAATCGGATTTCACAAAAAACTCTGAATTGAGCATTAAGCCCTGCAGTCTGAACATAGTCTTAGTTGGAATTACAACAGATGAGATGATTTTTACGGATCTCAAAGTTTCTCAGATAACATTACAGTCACAAGCTGGCTAGCATTACTCAGTAATTTTTCAGTTAGTTAGTTAGTCACCTTTTTAGTTGAAAATCAAACACCTAAACAAAACCATATTAAACTCAGGCTCCCCTGAAAATGTGTATTTTAAAATCCATTTGTATATTTTCTTGAGTTTTTGGCTGTGTTTGCTGATGTGTGCATTGTGTCACCATGGTAACCGCCATACACATACATGCAGAACACCCCCAACATGATGTCATTGCAAAATATCAACTGCCAAAATGTCATACTGAAGTTGTTTTAGTCTATGAGAACCATAGACTGTATAAAAAAGTGGAATAACAAGTATGACAACACTTGTTGCGTTCAGCTCCACTCAAATGAAGCTCGTGATGCTCGCAGTTATAGGAATGAATTTGGAGCCAGGCTCTTTTTTTAACGGACAAAATGGCGGAAAAAACACAAAGATCATGTAGAACAGGGGTGTCCAAACTTTTTTCATCAAGGGCCACATATCTAAACACAGACGAAGCAAAGAGCCGATTGAGGGCCATAGACAGTGAATACTCAATACAGTGAATAATTGAAATATGTGCATGTTTAATGTTTAATGTTAGAATGAGCCATCAGTCTTTATTCATGTTAAAATCCTTAAAACCACAAACTAGATATTAAATATTAGCTTTATCAAGGTAGATTTGCAAAAAACTTGTAGTATAAAATTATTTTTTAACTGATGCAAGGTAATTTGGGCCAAATCACCTGGAAGCCTGAAGGCCAAGAAAAATTTGGCCCCCAGGGTTTGGACATGCCTGATGTAGCGCGTGTTAATATGAAAATTACAGAGAGAGGGGCCACAATATTCCAGTGTAAGTCAGTGGGAGCCAAAATTAATTTATTTGGCTATTTGGAACATGCCGGCTAGTGCAATAAATGCAATAAAAATGCACGTGCACCAGAAACACATGCAATATCAATAATAACATTTGAAAATAAACTAAATGAAATAAGTCAGAATTTAAAAACACCATAGTACTTGCACTTTTTTGTTTAATGTTCATTCACAATTGTGCAATGCTCTAATCTTGAACATACCATTTTTTACTCACATTTCTTGTGAAGTATCAGAGGAGAATTTGAAAAATTACTCCATTTCAGCCACAGTGTCACCAAAGTTCTTTAGGAATAAGATTCCACATTTTATTGCTTCTTTTATTCACATCATTTCTTGTAGATTTTAAGGCTAACCTTTTTTAGAAAAAGACCCATAACAACACTTGTAAACAAAGAGACAGCTCTGTATGTTTATATTACCTGAATGCACTATTAAGTCATTTGTAACATACTGGACCCAAAACCAGGATTTAAGACAAGACAATAAAAATAAAAACACTTAAAGAAGACCTATTGTGCTTGTGTCTGCTATATAGTTATAAGCTAGAACACCCGTGGATGATTATGTTATCATTTGGACATTTTAAATCACAATATTCATCTAAAACAGCTTCATAAAAGAAACAATCGAAGGCTACGTCAACGTAAACATCATCAAAACAAAACATCGAGTCGGCACCTCCTATGAATAGATCACATTAGCATTTGTACCAAAATGACTACTAATGGTGTGGTGAATTATAGACGTATCACAGATTAAAAAAAAATAAAATTAGAGAATGAAGTAAGTACAGAGAGGTGAAAATTGTTCAGACATGCACAAATGCCTCCAAATATAACTTTGAGAGTGTAAATGGTGAGGGGAAAACACTAAAAGCTCTAAAATGTCAATTCTGCATAATAAGTCTGCTTTAATAGTGAACCCATTTGCCATTTAACAAAGTGACCTATGCAGCGGCGCACATTCAACTATAACCCATTTCCAGCAATTGTACATAAAAATAAAAAAGATAAAAAAAATAAAAACATATAAAGTCCTCATCTGCTACAAGGCCTCAAAAAAATCTAAATCACATGTAACTGTAAAATTAATTTATTATTCTAAAACCATTTGAATACCTCACCATTGTTTTCGACATTGTGCAAGTTAAATAAAACATATTTAAAACTTAGAAACAGAGACTATAAACATGAGGTAAATAAATGAACAGATACGCCTAACTAAAAGGTGTACTCTGTAACTTTTCTGGATCCAGGGCCTGTTTGTTTTCGTGGAGGTGTCATTGCTTTGGCTGAAATGTTCCACAATATAAAATCATTTAGAATTAAAACCACCCAAGATAGATACTTTTAAAAGCATAATGTGGAATATCATATGAACAACACATAAAAAAATTCTCCATGGACAAAAGCAGGCGACAACTCTCCACCAGAAAAGTTCCACGGTGAACCTTTAAAACTGACTTATGACTTATTTTTTCCATAGAAATTTCTCATTGGTTTTCCACAGCCTTTTATTCTCCTCTTCTTTGTAGTGATTTCTAGCTGCAATGTTCGTGCTGACACAAACCCTCTGCACTTCGGCTAGGTCCGTCAGTCTGTTCAAACTCTCCTCGTCCCCCTCCTGCAGGACATCCCAGAAGTCCTTGGAAGCTTTTTTCAGTATCGTTTTGGAAGAACTACCCTCACACAAAGCTGGTACTGGAGAATCCTTAGAAGACGAGGGTTTGCTAGACAATACTGAAGTTGAGTTAGCAGTTTTTGGGGAGTTCTTTTTCGGTTTGAACAAATCGTCAAGTATTGAGGTGTCTCCTATTAGATCTGTAAGAAAAGACTTGTCATTTGCGCTAGTTGAAGAACCAGAATCCGTTTTCGGTTCTTGGGAATTCTTGGACATTTTCTGTTTATCCGTTGTTTCTTGGAATGTAGGCTTGGCGAGTGGAGCAGGTAAGTTTGGGTTCATTTCTGAATCTTTGTGACTCAAAAAACTGGTCGGGTTTAGGGCACCACTAGCTTTTTTCGTTCTTTTTTCTATGAATTCGCTGGTAATCTCGACTTTTTCCTCAGGCCAGTCTGCTTCTGGACTTGGAATATTCTCAAATACATCTTTTGTTTTTTGAAATGTAGACTTGGCAAGTGTATTAGGTGACTTATGACTAACTTTTGAATCCCTATTATTTGAAAAATTTGCTTCAAAACTGGTCAGATTTATAGCACGACTATCTTTTCTCTGTCTTTTCTTTATGAATTCTGTGGTAACCTCAACTTTCTCCTCGGGCCAATCTGCTTCTGGGCTTGGTATATTCTCAAATGGATCCATCTTTTCTTTTTTCTCATGAATTTGCAATTTTGCTTCTTGACAATTTGACCTTTTGCTCCCCTTCTTTGGACTTGAAGTAGCTTTTGCAGTTGTTTTTGTAGTTTCATTATGAGGAATCTTTGCACACGACGATGCTTTGGAAGAGGCAGAAGAGGAGGGCTTTGCAGAAACAGATTGTGGAAAGTGCTTTGTGATCGTACTGGCCAAATCAGGGTGGTCCAGTGAAGTGTAGTATCGTCGTAACCAGGACAGACGTTGGTTTGAGGCGCTCCTGAGAACTTCTTTAGCAAATTGTTCAACTGAAGAAAAGTGGAGCTTTGTTGCCATGTCCTCCAATTGTTGCCTAGATACAAGACAAAGAATACGACATGTAAGGACAGTAAGTGACTGGATAAATGTTAATGGTAAATGGTAATTGGTCACATTTTATATAGCGCTTTTCCAGCTTTACATTAAGGAATCACTCACCCATTCACACACACATTCACATTTATACACCGGTGTACACAGACGCTGAGGGTGAGGTGGACTAAGTGTCTTGCCCAAGGACACAATGACTGCATTCATTAGTGGAATCACACCACAAACCTGCAGGCCAGTGGATCTGACTGCTCAAGAGTGGGATTTGAACCACCAACTTTCAGATGGGTGGACAAACATTCTACTAACTGAGCTACTGTCATCCTTCGTGCCATAGTGCCATCCTTAGCCAGACGTGGGACCAAGTCTCAAGTAAGTCTCAAGTCTTTGACCTCAAGTCTGAGTCAAGTCTCAAGTCAAAAAAGGCAAGTCCAAGTCGAGTCTCAAGTCACTGACCCATAAATCCAAGTCAAGTCCAAGTCGTCTGCTTTGAGCCTCAAGTAATTTCAAGTCTTTAAACCAAAGTGCCAAATAGAGCTTAGATTCTTGCAATTTATATCACTTTTAAGATAAATTGTACTTATAAAGTCATAGTATATTTATATTTGAGTATTTATAGCATATATAAGAGTTTTAGAAATGTTTTCCTTTTAAAATCTCTTGACAAGATCTTAGAGTGAATCATTACAGTCAGAATAGAACAAATTCAGAATTAAAAGTGCTTCTCAAGTCTTCTCAAGTCACAGGCCTCAAGTCTGAGTCAAATCCCAAGTCACTGTCCTTCAAGTTCAAGTTGATTCCCAAGTCTTGGTCCATTTTATCAAGTCAAGTCTCAAGTCCTAAAAATAGTGACTCAAGTCTGACTATTGAGTCCAAGTCACGACTTGCAAGTCCCCACCTCTGGTTACAGCGTAAAAAAAAATTCCATTTGATACTAAAGAACAAGGATCAATACCACCAATTTACCACAATGATAATAAAACACACACTTTTGGAAATATAGAGTTACAAAATAATAGTAGTTTGGTCTTGTACTAGTTTGACAATGATCCAGATTACACAAAAACTATTCAAGAAATGTCTAAATTTGTTCCATTTATGTGATTTTTATTAAGCATCGCTATTCTAGTTTTCAAGTTACAACTCCCATATCAGTTTATTTTGCTTAGATGTAGTTAGGGATTTTCAAAGAACTGAAACTATAGGAACATATAAGCCTAGTTTATTTCACCATAATGAAAGAGCCTGTGGCAGAATCACCCATGTACTTAAAAATTAATTCCGTAAAGATTATTGCTGTGCTGTTTACATGCGTCTTTGTTTCATACACACTTGTTCACGTAATCCTCTATTATTAGTCTGTCTGTATCTCCAAAGCTCAAAATGCTTTGTTCCACCTTGTGATGTCATGAGGTGGCAGTATCTTTTATCTTTTGCTCAGTAGAGATGGGCATTTCCAGGGCTAAAAGTATCTGAATGACTCTGGTGAAGGTGTGTGGAGTTTAACAACAAAGAGGAGCACTTCCTGTATCACCACATGACATCACAATGTGGAAGAGAATATTTTCAGTTTGAGAGAACAATTCTACTAAATCTAAATATGCAGGGTGTGTGTATTAAGCATATGTGAATGAAACAAAACGAAACTTCAGGTGTGTTTTTGATGACGAAACAACATTATAACATAGATTAGAAAACAGCAGAATATGGGAACTTTAATGTAGTGTGTGTTGCAAAATAAAAGGGAATCTGTTTGGTGAATTATCTGGTAAATTGAGCTCTAAGTGAAGGATATTTTTGGGGTAGCTAAGGGCAAAAGTAGACAAAGTTCTTCTCAGGCACAGAGACTAAAGCCACTGAGCTGTTGCCCAGCCTAGTACATGGTATGTTGATAGAGGTGGTGCAACAGTACGGTGTAAGACTAAGGTGTGTGTTCTGTGTGTGAAAAGGTGCTGATGTCTGCATAGGACTGTGGTTTTGGACAGCCTGCGGTGTTCATTTTTGGGTCCACTCCTAGTAGCTGTGGTCGAGCAGAAGAGAACTCCACCACTGTCAGGGTTTGATACAATAAGAGTTCATATCTGGAAATGATGCTAGAAGGCAACAGCTCTGAGGTGGTCTGTCCTTACATTCCCCGCACGCACTGATCCCGCGGGCCTGGTGGGGGCGCTCATTACAGACGCTGTGGTTAGATTTGGCTTTCCGCCTCAAACCTGCTGGGAAATTATCTCCTCAAATACACAGAGCCCTTTCTTCATTCTAAACGGTTTGCCAGCTTTATGAAATTACTTATGAACAGTGAGCGTACAAAGCCATTAGATATGTTTTGCAATCATCGTTGCTTGAAAATTATGATAAAGTTTGGCACATGCAATCGGAAGGAGTCAGTGGAAGTTTGAATACAAGTCTGTTTCGATTTTAAGAGTTAAATCGGTATAAAAGCAAAGATACAAGTGCCCTTTTGTTATCATTAAGCATGCGGAGGAGGAGGCCTTCAGGGCAACTTGTTAGCAGTGAATTTTTGCTCTATCACTGCAAAATGAGCAGAAATTGTAAATATAATGATTTTTTAAACTAGGCTTTTTAGAAGACTTCACCTTATAGTTATTAAATTTGAGAAATATTATCACAGCATTTATTTTGGTCTGTAAACTGCTACATTACAAGTCAGATCTGGGGAGAGTTGCCCCTATGCACATAAGGAATTAGTGTATTTGTGAGCAATAGAAACATCTGTAATTAATAAATGCTAGAACAATTTTGTTTAATTTTACCATGGAACATTCCAGGCAAAGCAATAACATCTTCCTCTGGACAAGCAGGTAGTGGACCCTGACAAGAAATGTGACATAGTGCATAGGGATGTAACAATAACCAAAGTATCGTGATATCGTATCGTCAAAGTTCTCACAATAATATCGTGGACCATCACAATATATCGATTTACAAGTCTCCTTGCTTAAATTAAGAGTTATGGTGCAGCAAAAAAGACAGAGGGAACTACATAGACCATGATGCTTTGCTCCATTTCAGTGTAGACTACATGAAGAAATAACAGTTCTAAGCACGTTAAAGTCTTTGTTCTTTGGATTAAGTCTAGTTAAGGCATTTTAAGAAGAAAAAGTAGCATATTAACAGTTTTGTTAGTCTCCACAAATCACAATAAATATCGTTCCATGAGATGTATATCATGAAAATATCGTACAGAGAGATTTGGATATTGTTACATCCCTAATCGTGAGCCTTCCCACCATATCATGAGCTTTCTTATGATATTGCAATAAATATCGTACTGTGAGGTTCATACCGTGACAATATTGTATCGTGAGACTTGGATATCGTTACACCCCTAATAGTGCACCTTTAAGTAACTTTTTTAATACCTGCAAATGGTCTGTGGCGTTTCTCCAACGATAAACGTGGTGTGCCGTGTCTGCTCTGTGATCCTGGTCCTGAATGTAACAGGATGCTCCACTCTGGGTCTCATGCCTGTAGAGGTAGTTCTGCTTTGTATCGGGGGACTGTCTGGGGGGCTCTCCGACGAGCTCTGGAAACGCCAAGTCAGCGTGTTATTAAGTACTTAGCCTAATATAGCAGCAATTACCAATGTTTTCTGGCCATTGCCTCTTACCCACCTCCTGTGTGCCTAAGAGATGGTTGGCAGGCATTTGAGAGAACAGTTTGCGTTCGAACACATCTCTAACCGCCGCTCTGCTGATCAGCTCCTCGGCTCTGCTCCCTCCCACTACTCTCTGGTTGGAGTGGGTGTAGGCTACTTCCTGGACACCACCTTTACCAAAATACAACATAAATGATAACAGTGTAAGAAAGGAAAAAAGAAAGTACAGTAATTCCACCCAATTTGATGTTGGTGAGCTACGCCAACGCAAACCTCGAGCTTCAGAAAATGCCACTCTGTGCCAAAAGCCTCGACAACCAACAGTCATTCAGCTCACACACAATACAGTTACATAAACAAGCCAGATTTGGTTTCAAGACATTTCAAACTTAATCATCGGTTGACGCAAACTTCCTTTTCAATGTTTTACCAATAGAAAAATTACACCAAATTGTTTGTGTGATCATTAATAAAGATTTTGATTCTGATAAAGAAAGACATTGATACTTTGCAGATAACGTCGTCGGGGGTGTGAGGGTAACTGTAGGCACTGCTCTGTCTGAGGCTTTGTTAGACTCTAATCTGAGCTTTATTTCAACACAATCTAACCAGAAAACTGACGAGGTTACAGGTGAGTGGATTTGTGCTGTTAAACGAGTCAAATAACATTACAGTCACGAGCTTGCAAGCATTAGTCAACCATTTTAAGTTAGTTACTCTCACCTTTTTATAGAAAATCAAACTCCTAAACAGAGGAAACGAAATGATGATGGTGAAAATAATATTAGTTAACTACAGTGACTAAAAATGTTTATTAAAAATGGGGGGGCAGTTTTGTTATTTTGTATTTGTTGTGGGTGTTACTCCATGTTTTAGGGTTTGTTTTTATGTTGATTATTGCATTTTCTTAAATGTTATATTGTGTTGTCTTTAATTAAAAAGTAATTCATTAAAAAAGAACTCCCAGACAGGACCATGAATGCTCCTATTGATCACAGCCTCTTGAAAATGTGCTGTTTAAATCCAATTTGTATTTTTTTCTTGAGTTTACAGACAATCTTATCAGGCTGGTTTCCTTCCTAAGGTGTGCATTGTGTCTCCATGATAACTGATGAACATTCCGCCGTACACATACATGTAGAACACCCCCAGCAAATGTCACTGCAAAGTATCAATTGAAACCAAGTGATGATATATTGAAACAAGTCACATAATCAAATACTAGTATGTAAAAAAAAAAGCAAAGAAAAAAAGGAGTCACAATTCACTCACCTAACACAGTATCAATGCTTCCGTTCTTGGATTGAGGGGACTGAGAATAGGTTTTGGAGACCCTTGATTGTTTTTCTGGTGTCACAAACCCTCGATTATTTGAGGTAACTCTTTCCTTCACTGGAGAGTTGAAACGACTCCCTTTAGGTCTAGGTTTCTTCCTCATCTGTTCGTCTTCAGATGATGAAAATGCCTCGATCTCTTCTGTGAATTTGACTTTGTTTGGTCCAAGTTTCTGTCTTGTTTTGCTTTTTTCACCAACTGTGGCTGTTCTTTTAGGGACTTTCTTTCGATTTGAAGTCATCACCTCTATGTCCAAGTCTTCAGATTCATCCGAGTAACTTTGAAATATGTTTGGAAGAGGCACAAATGCTTTACGCTTTTTTGTTTTGGAAATCTGTTCTTTCTTAGATACATCCTTTTCATCTGGCTCAGAATCACTTAATATTTTAAATTCCTCTTTCTTCAACTTGTCAGAGTCTTTCAGTGTTGTAAAGTTGGTCAAATTGGATGAAGAATGTTGATTATCGTCATCAGAACTGCTATCGTCAACGTTGGAAATACCCCCTTCTATGGAATCTGGGGTTCCTTTAATTCTTTGCAGTAGTTTTGAAAACCCATGTTGTAATAAAGTCATTCTTCCTGGAGTAGAGGTATTGGCTTCATTTGTATAAGGGTCTGATAACTTCTTTGTAATCCCTTCGTCATCGTCACTGCCACTGCTAAAGTCCAGTACCCCTCTGGGCAGCTTGGTAGTATCTTTGTTTTGCACTTTTGCTGTATTGTTCTTGGAGGCAGAAATGGTAGAATCTTTTACATGCTCCTTGATGAAAACAAGAAATCAGAAAATATACATATTAATAATTATTTGACACATCAGTTATCATTCATATGTGGTCTATATTTTAAAAGGAAAATTGGTAATACGAACAAAGTGTATGCAAGACTAAACAATTGAAATGGTATAACAAGATTGTTTTGGATTTGGTATTTCCGATAGTGTTATTATTTTTTAGGTGTACCTATGTTTATGTGAGGTTTATCCTTCAGAATACATTTTAAAAGCAATTTTTCTTGAAAAATGTGGTAAAATGGTAATATTAAAAAGCGTATGCAAGGGATTCGTGCAAAATATATTAAGAAAAAAGGTAAGGTATTAATATAACAATGTAAATTATTTCTCTAAGCAGAATTTTATATTTCTAATGCTGCTTTGTTGCTTATTGGCAAATACAAAGATAATTCAAGGGTTTTATTGGTAACATAACAGCACTCTCTACTCTATCGTACTCATCGTAATCTCCATCATAATTTAATCAAAAATTATACACAAAGCACCACACAAAGCTTCTCCTTTTTGAAAGACGAGCAGGTTTGTCCCTGCTATGACTTATCGCCCAGCCCCACTATGTTCATACTACAATGGTCACTGAGAGAGGAATCTTAATTTTAAAACAAAAATTGCTAATTAAAGCCACCCACAGCGATGATGACCCTCGCCCTGGCACACACGCAAATTGTGGCAAATTTTTGATCCAATGCGGCCAACTTTCTGTTCATCATAGGCGTACATGCCAATTCAACTGTTGGCTTGTCTTATTGTTCGTTATCACTGTTCTGAATTTTGTTTATCACTGTTCCAAACTTTGCTCGTCCCCGCTCCCATAGGGGTCCACTTCTAGGCAGCACTGTTGAGTCTGAGCTTATCAAATTTTTCACCCAACCGGTCAATCCCATACCTGGTTTGGGTCTTTTTGTTGAAGTTTAGGTCCTCAAAATCACGATAAAAATAAAATAATAGAGAACGGGTGAAGGACAATAGCCCTTGCCTTTTACTCTGTTATGGCTCAGGCCAATAAATAGTTGTAATGCTTCACCTATTGTTCCCCCCTTTAGCAAGACAAGAATCTATAGACTGGCCTACTTTTCTCTCTATTTCTTTTAAACATTGAACTCTGGCTGGAGGTGAACGAACATAATGTATGAACTGGATCAGTAAAGAACCATATCACCCAAGAATGCAATCAATGTCCCCTTTAACTGTAGTGCAATATTTACATAGCCATAAACTCCAACAGCCTGTCAGCCAACACTCCAGTTAATGTGAGCCCTCTTTGTGTAAGAAGGAAACATCCCATACGACATATGCCCTCAGTCATGATGTAATGTTACCGGAACAATGCGCCCAGTGCATTTTGAACTGGTGTGTGAATGCTTCTTTATGGCAGGGACCACCAACAGTGTTCCTGATTTCATGACATTTGCCATGACACTTCCTGAAGGTTACAGTTCTGTGCGCATGTGTTGCCCGGGGGCCTCTTTTGTGTGCGTGTTAAAGCACTTCTGTGTATTCACTATTTGCGCAGGAATTCGAATGGCCTCGGAGGAGCTGCAGCAGAGAGGGACAATGTGGAACAAGATGAGAAGAGCCCATCACTTGGTAAATAAATAGCTCCACAGCCTTCAGTGTGGTCTGCTGGCCCCATTATAACATAGGTAATTATATCCAGCTGGGTCACACACGTCAGAATGAAGAAGACATACAAGAAGACAAAGAAAACCCAGACAGTGGCTTCTACAGTATCACAACTGCTACATGTATCTACCCTGAAAGGGATTCTGAACCATGAGTGAATTACGAACGTAACTACAGTTCTAGGAATCCCAGATAACAGCCAGAGGGAGGTCAGTAGATCAAACTGAACAAGTTTCAGAATAAACATTAGCTCACTGTGTGCCTTCTATCACTTCTGTTAAAGCAAGACAAACTGGGATAATCACAATCAGTAGTTTCCTCATGGATCTGAGCCAACAAATACCCTTTAAAATCTACAGGAAATATCATTAAGTTTTTTTTTTTTTTTTTTTTTTTTTTTGCATTATACTGTATTGTTAGGCCCTTTGCTACTCATTGTTCATTCAATTTTACTACTGCTGCCAAATAGCTATGCATTTTGGATAAATCTTTTGCACAATACAATATATATTTTATAAATATATTAGTAAAGACATTGCCCAGGGTAACCTAAATACTCACCTCTGGTGCCTTTGCCTCTTCTTCCTTCTCCTCCCCCATGTGGGTTCGAGCTGTTGTTACCCCAGCCTCCACTTGCCCTTCTCTCTAAAGGAAAAGCAAAACGTGATGATTTCAGGAAACTTTAAACGTCCTATATTGCACAAAATTGACTCTTATAAGCTTTAAGCCATATTAGATTATTGTTACCTCCTCAGAAACATACCTGGAGTTGTGTTTGGCCTCATTCACACATTTACACTTTTAAGTAATCCTTTATTATTAGTCTCGCTAAATCTCCAAAGCTCAAAATACTTTGTTCCACTTTGTGATGTCATGAACAGCAGTTTTCAAGTTAAAAGCTACCTTTTACCTTTAGAAATTGGCGATTACAGGGCTGAAATGATTTTTTTTTTTAAGTATGGAGTTTAAAAAGACAGAGGAGCACATCCCGTATTATATCATAACATCACAGACTGTTTCCTGTTTGAGAGAAGAACACACCTTAAATATGCAAGGTTTGTGTATTAAACATGTGAATGAAACAAACACTGGGTACGTCAGGTGAAGAAACAACATTATAACATAGAAAACAGTGCAATATAAGGCCTTTAAAAACATGCTTGAAACAGTGTGTAGGATCTCTGACCTCGAGGATCTGACGTGTGAGGCATGTCCCCTGGGTCTGAAGTCTGAAGAGGTTTTTGATGCCAAACAACTCGCCCTTCTGTGCATCATCCCCCTGCACTGCTTCAAAGTACCGCCGTGCACTCTCCACCGCCACCACTGATGAGTGCAGTTGCTGAAAGATTTTGGGATGAAAATATGAGAAAATTATTAAATATTATATAACAAATCCAACTAAAGCAAGCACTAAAATCTAACTTCTTCTCAAGTATATGTAGTTTTAACAAGTCAGAAAGAACCATGATAGGAAGCCCTTTTAATAGACTTAGACAAAATTTATTGATCCACAAGGGAAATAATTTGGACACATTAGCTCACAAATTACAAAATATTATAACAACAAAGAGGGGCAAATATGGCATAATTAAATAAATAAAAGTTTAAAAAATCTAAATAAAAATATAGATATATAGTAATACAGTTATTACTATATATTTGTAATTGAATTAAAAAGTAAATGACCTTTTTTCTAGTAAAATTAGGAATCCGCACAATTGCAGTTTTAAGATATCTAATCCCAAATGTTTTTTTATTCTTCCATGTACTGCTCTCTTAAGCAATTAACAAAAAATATGTGACACAGATCTATTTAGTCCATGATTTATAATGATTTGGCCGATGTAAAAGATTGTACCTGTTTGTAAACTTGTCTTAGGTAAATCACTTCTTCCACCGTGCCCAAGGAGATGAGCCTGAGAACTGTAACATCCCGACACTGGCCAATGCGGTACGCCCTGCAACCACATACAAATATTATTATGACATACTTTAGCTTTGTAGGGCACATAATATTACTGCCATTTTGTACCTGTCTATAGCCTGGAGATCATTGGCAGGGTTCCACGTGGGGTCAAACAAAACAACCACATTGGCTCCTACAAAGTTTAGACCCAGTCCACCGGCCCTGAAAGAATAAACAAGTGAGTTTTAAAAATTGTAACTTAGGTAAAACAAATGCCGGTAGCACTTTACAACACAGTAACAGCATGGTAACTAAAGGTGCAATCACACTTGTACAATCACCGTATTCAAATTGGAAATTAAGTGATGCTATATGCTGAACTAAATCTGGATTACACCAAAACAAATCCAGAACTAGAACAGGACCAAACCAAGTCTAAATTAGGACTAAACTCAGACTATGATGAAACCAGTGTGAATGTAACTACAGTTATTACGGTACATTGTATTGACACATGGATATTGGATACAGCTTACATTCTACTTTATTTCTTAATGCAGCTGTAGTATTAAAGGGACAGTCTGGAATTTTGGACATACAACCTCATTTCCTAGTGAGCCAGAGTGTTGGAGACGTGTGGAGACACTTTTTTAAATATTCCATCCAGTCCCTGTATTTGCAGAGGTCGCTGGTGCTAGGCTAGTGCATGTCAATGGCCATAGTTATCCTGACACTAAAAACAGTCTTACCCACTCCACAAAGCACCCGAAACAAATCTATTATAACGCCAAACTGTCAATGTGAATGTCTGTGCTGATAGAATAAATTTCGATGTAAAACCAACCTTGCATTCGAAGGATTTATGTCTGAGCAGCAGCAGGGAGTTGTGCTTCCTGATATAAAGCTTGGCAGCAGTGGACTGATATATGAGAAAATAGTCCCTGAACATGCAACAATTCATGCGATGCAAGGTTTGTTTTATTTCAAACATAATTCTATCAACAGAGACATTCTGGCGTAATAATAGATTTGCTTCGGGTGTTTTGTGGAGTGGGTAAGACTGTTTTTAGTGTCAGGCTAACTATGGCCATTAACATGCACTAGCCTAGCACCAGCGACCTCTGCAAATACAATTACTGGATGAAATATTTAAAAAAGTGTCTCCACACGTCTCCAACACTCTGGCTAAGTAGGAAATGAGGCCCTATGTCCAAAATTCCAGATCGTCCCTTTAATCCTAACACCCCAATATACTCAATATGGAAGGACCACCATATAGTTGGACTGAGGAATTACACAGTGGCTACATAACCAGTAAAGTAAGAGAGTATTTCTTCCTTCCTCCCATTACTATGCTATTACTATGGTGTTCAATGTAAATACTGTGTACTAACATGGTAGAAACGAGGCATATGTTAATGTGAGAGGAGCTGTTGAACTCTTTGACGATCTGGACCCTCTCCTTGGATTTGGTGTTCCCGTCTAATCTGCTGTAGTCCAAGCCTTCAGCCATGCAGTAACTCTCCAGAACATCCAACAACTGTGAGGATCCAAGCACAACAAAGACACGATGAGGCTCCAAAACACATGCCACTGAGTACATACAACCGAGGGGGGTGTAGACAGACGCACAAACACATCTAATACAAGACAAACAATTCACTTTCAGGACTAATATAGAAAATGATGGGTTTGTTTGTAGGTTAAATATACAGCGTGTTTAAATTGGACTTTTCCCAGAGAACCTTGTCCTTGGGCCTAAAAAAGCAAAAAGATCTGCAAATATGACTTCATAGCAGCTAGAAATGTTATCATACTGACTCAAGTGACACCCACTATTAGACATAGCGCTATAATGAGTTTTCCATGTAAATCATTACTCTGTGCAATGAGTAAGACTGTACTGTAAGTATTTGTACTTTTGTTAATTGTTGAAAAAAAAGTTTTCCATAAGCAACTTCAAGCTTGTTTCATTGGTGAATGTTGATTTATACATTTTTTTAAATAAAACTGTAGCAATTGGTGGTGCTTAAATATTAGGTCACTAGTTTTTCCCTCCATAACAGACTACAGTTGCCTCACCAAAGTCTACATTAAAACAAGCTGAGAAATAAATAGCTATATACTTTTTGCATTATCATAAATATATAGAAGTTTATTCACTTTATTTTTGGTATTTTTAAATTTTAAATGTATTCAAATTAGGATGTTTTGCACAAAAAAGACACAATCAAACTCCTATGAAACCCACAAATGATGCCGCTACCTTGGTTGAGAGAGAAAACAGAAGTATTTTATCTTTTCTTTGACGGTAGTGATGTAACAGCTTTTGTAAAACCTGAAAAATAAAGTAGGGTAGTATGATGAGACAATAAAATATCAGACCATAATACACAAGAAGTAGTAGTAAGGAGTAGTACCTTCATTTTGCCGCTGTACATTGGGTCTGATAAGGCTTCAAATGATTCATGTTTACATCTTTGCACAAAGTCTGGAAATTGTTGAAATACTTTCTCACAAATGATACCCACATACTTTTTCTGTACAACAGAGAGAGTTCAAATTTAATCAGGTAAAATCAATTTGATATAAAAGCAAAAGAACTTAAACAGAGAATATACCTGGTTCTTGCTGGTCCCTGCGCTGGACTGGAGCAAAGCAACATGGCTGGCAATTTTCCTCAGTATGGCCAAATATGTGAAGTAAAGTTTTTTCATCTCAACCCCTTCAGAATTGGCCTGTCAAAAAAGTATTTATAAACATGACATACAAGCAAAAACTTCTAATTAATTACACATTTCCATAATATTCAATCAATTTACTATGATTACATTTTTGCTAAAATACTTCAAAACATTTCAAAATAACAAATAAAAGGTGCAAATTATAATCTATTTTTAAATAATTATCCTTCAAACTGACTTTGTAGCAGCAGCGTCTCCTGGTATGTCTGCTTCCACAGTCACATTTCTCAGAAGATCTCAGGAGTAACCTCACATCTTCACTGTCCAGAACCGTCTGATACACCGTTCGTTGGAAGTCCGTTAAGGAGCAATACACCACCTACAATTAACATATTAAGATGAGGATTAATTTTCTTACATTACATATTTCCTAAGATCTGTCCCTAACATCCAAATAGATCCCTGTGTGGACTGTTTTAAGTCTTGTCTTAAGCGTGAGTTATGTGGTCCTTTGTGTATTTCATTCATAGATTTTATTCATTCTATTGTTTTAACCATTTTTTGCTTTACATATTTTAATTATCTTAAAACTTTCTATTTGTTATTTTACTATTTACTGTCTTTATTGTCTTAATTTATGTGTGTCACTTTGGAACTTCATGTCATGCTTATTAAATGTTCTGCATAAATAAAGTGGATTGTATTTGGTAAGTCTGAGTGCCTTACCCTGTCATCCTTCTTAGGCAGTTGTTCCTTGATGAGGGACTTCGTTCTTCTGAGAAAATAGTGAGAAATCTTCTTCACTAATGCTCGCACACTTTTTCTTCCAACAGCAAGAGCGCGCTTGGTAGCATTGTGCTTCTGTCCTTGTTCTATCGGTTCAGAAAATTTGGTTTTGAAGTGTCCTAAGCTCCCAAGACATTTAGGCACAGCCCTTCATAAAAGAGACATAAAAAGATGAGGGACAAGTGCTTATTTGATCAAAGGTCAATACAATTTGGAATTACATAATTAATAAAGACATGAACACTGCAGAGGAGAACATACCAATCCATAACACACCACAGCTCTTCAAGATTATTTTGCAAGATTGTTCCAGTGAGGCCAATTCGAATCTAAGAGAATTAATAAAATACAAAATTAACTGCAACAGACTGGCTTTATTTGTAAACACATTTTTGTCGGTCATCATTTACCTTTTTGTCTGCAATAAAGGACTGTTCTAATTGACAATTAGGCTTTTGCATTCATTTCAAGCCACTTACCTGACAGTTCAGCTCCTTCATAGCCTGTGTTATCTGAGAGCTAGGATTCTTTATTTTATGGGCCTCATCCACTATGACAGCAGACCAGTCAATGCTATAACAAAATAGCAGAAAGTTACCTATAAAAAGTTACACAGACAACAGATGATTTGATAGAGTTATGACAAACCTACTCATTAAAAAGATCCAGACACAGGCGGAGGGTCTCATAGGTTGTGAGTGCAACCTCAATGCGGCCCTTCCTGATACGGTTCAGCTCTTCTTCTTTCTTCAGCCCATGGACAACCACACACTGGAAATGACCCCATGTCTCCAGTTCATCCTTCCAGTTATACAGCACTGATAAAGGTGCCACAATAAGGAAGACCTACAAACAAAACAACTTTATTATTTTTTCACTCTGAATTACTAAGGCACGGTAAATCACGGAATACATTAATCCTGAAGTAAGTGTCTGTGAAATCCTTCAGGCATACAGGTGGGATGTAGTATAAAGTGTAATAATATAGTAATATACATAATTACACGTTGGTTGCACTCATCTCAGGTTTATCATAGTCAAGTTAGCAATTTATATTATTTTAGGGACTCTCATATACTGCCTGAATATATCCAGATTTAATGAACTTCTATTGCAATGCATATTTTTAAGCTTTTTGAAAATTCTTACGCTTACCTTATTTGAACTAGTCTGTTTATTACAGGCCTGGCTCTGCAGAAAAGACGGTCTGTTGTTCTCAATATCCTCCCATGTTCCTTTTTTATGCAATATAGCAGCAAGGAATCCAATAACCTGTTGCAGAAAGATTAAATACATTTTTATAGAGACATATTATTGCAAAGCTGTGAGTTGTTCTGAGCCTTACCTGTACAGTTTTGCCTAGACCCATGTCATCGCCCAAGACACATCCTCTGGAGTGAATGTAGTTGTTGTACATGAACTTGATTCCTTCTCTCTGGTATTCTCGCAAGTACCTATTGATAGTGTAAGGTACTTTGTGTTCATAACATAGCTCTAAAGGCACACATAGATTAGAGTTGATCACAGTGCCAGAAAAGAACGGTTTCTCCTGGGTTAAACTGGTAATGTTGGTCTTTTTTAGTTTGGACACAGGCACGGACTCCTCCACTGCATCTGCCCCATGGTCCTTAAATATCAACCAGGCTGTATCAGGATGTTTCGAAGTGGAAGAGGAGGAAGATAGTCTACGAATAGTGGCTTCTCGCAGGATGCCATCCTTTGAGTCTGGAGCTAGACAGGTGTTGCCTTCATGCCATTCTGTTGTGAAAAATATGTTACAATTAGGACAATATAATGTGTAATTTTTATATTTCAATTTGAATTAGCACTAGGTTTTTAATAGTCAACCAGTCAAACAGTTGTTTCTATACAAACACTGAGATTTTTAAAGTGTCAAAACAAAAAATAAATAATAAAAAAAGCCTCTATTCCACCATATTTATTTTACCTTTGTTTGGTTAGAACGGTATTAATTAAATTATGTTTTCTTTGTTATAAAGAAGAGCTTGTGGGATGTGTTTTAAAGTCTGTATACCCCAGATAATGATTACAATAGTTTATTATTTTATTTTATTATTGTTTATAGTCAAGTTCCCAAGTCCCAATTATTCACATATTTTTGCAGCCCTGGTTATGAGAGCAAATAAATCTCAAAATGTTTAAAATATATTACACAAAATGGATTCTTGTGAGCTAAAGCCATGCTATAATGCTGTTATCTCATCAAAAACATACCTGAAGTTGTGTTTTGTTTCATTTACGCATGTTTGACTAATAATCTTTATTATTAGTTTGTCTACATCTCCAAAACTCAAAATGCTCTGTTCCACCTTGTGATGTCATAACGCTGTAGTTTTCAAGTTAACAGCTCCTTTGCCTTTTGTTCAGTAGAGATGGGCAATTACAGGGCTGAAATGGAGGTCATACAGCACGTCCTGTATTACCAATTGACATCACAAGGTGGAACAGAGTGTTTTCTGTTTGAGAGAAGAACTCAGCCTAAATATGCAGGGTTAGTGTCAGTGAAACAAACACAACTCCAGGTATGTTTTTGAAGAGGAAACAACATTATAACAGCCCCGAAAATAACGCAATATAGGCCCTTTAAAGTTAGGACATATCAGAGGCACTAACCAGAAGATGAAGCAGCAGACGAAGCCATGAAAAAGTTCTTGTGAGCATCAGCTGCTTCTTTCGTGTAGAGATTGTTGACATTAGCATGTAGCTACGTTAGCTTAACAGCGTTACAAACGTAGCGACGAGACACAACAGAGAGCCACACTCACAAATAATAGTTAAACTGACGATACAATCAAACCGCATCCTTTTGGGAATACAACAAGCCTTTAAATTACAAATAAAGGAAAAACTAAGCAGATTTACAGCAGAAAGACTCTGGCAGCTCTTGTGCGTCCAGCAGCCAAATGTTTATGTTCCTGTACAACCGCGTCGGCAGATTCAAGGAATTAGAGACACACAAATGCTCCATGAACCTCATTAAATAACACAGACTGCTACATAATTAAATATATTGAAATATTTTCTCTATTGCTTTTTAGAATTTGTAATGCTTTGTCAAGAATTTGTAAGTGTCGATCTGGAATTGTGTCGAATGTGCTGCTAATTATGTCTACTAAAAGTTCTATGAAAAAGTTTTATTTTTAAAATTGTTAGTTAATTGAAATATGGAAATTGAAATTTTAAACGGATTACATTAAGCAGATTATTTTACCTACCTATATCAAAATACATGGCAAGGCTAAATATAAAACGGCATTACAATGTTTTTCTTTTAGGCTAGCAGAATTTCACATAGATTTGATTCAAACTATGATGGGAGAAATATTTTCTAAATTAAGAAATTTCTTTCATACCATAACAGTGTAGTTACTTTTTATGTAAATGACAATACAAGGAGATTTAGTATGCCAATGTTTAGTCTCTGTTCTTTTTGGAGAATGGGGGCCACCATAGTCTCTTTTACTAAAGGGGAAATATTGAGCCTAGACATGTGTAGAGAAGGCTAATGATCAGGCAAGATAATAATGAAAATGCAAAATGTAAATATGAAGTATGCTATTGCACATTATATTACAGAAAACTGTATTAATTGCCCCTACAACACAACCACAGTCTGTGATCAAAAATGCTATTTTATTACAGTTTAACATGGCTAGATAATTTCCTTTACTTATTAGATCATTATTTATTTCCTCTTCTGACAGTGAGTCCTTTTCATCCACATGCAAATGTAACAAGTTCCTTCGTTAAAAAAACATTGGTGGTCTGGAAGTTAATTGCCGGAGGGCTCATGGGTGTCGGTTGTGGTCTTGGCCTGGTCTGATGGCAATCAATAATGTGACTTTCATTGCTGCTGTTACTATGCAGAACAGACTTGTAAACAGAGGATAACACTGTCTCACTCTCCATCCCTGATTTGACTTTCCCTAAACGCTCCCGATGAGGCACGACTCTCTGCTCCTCGCCATGCTACGCTGCCATACAAAAATGGGACTTTTTGTCCTGTTTGCCGAAAAACTGGGATTTATAAGGCAGCTGCTGCAGATGTTCTCGTAAAGAAAGAACAAGTCCCAAGTTAAACACTTTCAGATTTTCTGACATTGACACTTTTTCAAAAGATTAGGGTCACAGAAGAGCTCAAGCAATAGGACTAAAACTATGATACAGACAGATAAGCATATACACAGCAATAACTGTGAGGTAAATACATCATATAATATTTGCAAGTAATGAAAACTCAGACCAAGTTCAAAACAACAGTTGTGCATGACTAAAAGGATTGTGCTATTTTCTTTGGATTAGTTTTATGATGATTATTTATGTTATAATTTGCATGTTTGTTTTCATTGTGATTTTAATGTGGCTTTCTTATTCTCCTAATTTTTTAAAACTTTTATTAAGTTTTTATTTAATACAATTTGTGCTCTGCAAATAAACTTGCCTTGCCTAAATGATCATGGCTTTCATTTGCTCAAAAATACCTTGAGAAATATGCATCCAATGAGCGGGGTCATATCTCCACAGATCTGACCCGTAACTTGGTTTGGTGTTATCATGTATTTGTATCTACGGAGACTGATTGTACTGTACAACGCTCCAGGTAAAACAACAACATCTCCATTATGACAAGCAAAAAAGCCCAAACGTTACAAAGTGCACATTTCATTTCCTAGATTATTGATTAGTGATTGATTGTTCAAAGATTGTGGGAGAAATTCTGGACGGACTTGAGGTGTTAACAGTTCATATTAACACCATGTGACTGGCCAAGAACATCATCTCTGACCGCAGCCATGTTCTAAACACAGGATATGTGCTGTTGCCATTCAGGCGTAGGTGCTGTGTGCCACGGTTTAACAGCCAGGCTCAAACAGTCCTTCATATATGAGTCTATCCTGTAGGTAAAATCAGTGATCAGTGTTATATTGGGGGCAGAAGATGGTCTTTGTTAAATTGTCCTGTATGTTTATGCTTGTGCGTAATGTCCTTTTATTGTGTGATTGCACGGTTGTATGATCTTACAATTACCTCACTGCAAATTTCTCTGATCTGGCCAAGATTTTAAAATTTATATCAGGTTATTCATCTTCTTTTCAGATTTATTATCTGCTTACTAGTTCTGAGATTGCTTAATTCTACTCTAGAGATAATTTATTTTAAGATAAATTGCCAAGTAAAATTATCTTGCTGCATGGACAGATAATTTCACTACTTTACGCCATTTTCTGATAGATTTAAGTGTTTATATCTTAAATTTTGGCTACGTTTTTTTTTACAGTGCTTGCAATGACATGCTGGGGGTGTCCCACATGTATCTCTGTGGTGGAATGTTCAGCAGTTACCATGGTGACACATTGCACACATTAACAAATACTAAAAAAAGAAGAAAAATGTATTTAAACAGCACATTTTCAGGAGCCTGTGATCAATATAAGCTTTCATGGCCCTGCTTAGGTGTGTAAGTCAGTTCCTAATGGTCAGCTCCTGTTAAAATAAAGATCAGATTACAATCTAATTTGAGTGAAAGAGTTTTAGATAGAGCAGTGCCTACAGTTAGCTTCACACCTCCAGGGAATGTTGATGATTAGGGATGTAATGATATCCAAATCTCTCACTCGATATTATCATGATATGCATCTCGCGGTTCAATATTTATTGTGATCTTTTGGAGAGGCAAATGTAAATGTAGATGGGACACTTTTTTGTTTTTAAAATACCTTGACAAGATTTTGGTGTGAATTATTTCCGTCATAATCCCAAGAATTCAAGTAAAAAACATCTCTTCATGTTTTCTCCAATGAAATGAATCATGGGATATGTAGTTCTCTATGTTTATAAGCTGTTGCTATTATAAAACCATGCATTTAAGCAGAGGAACTTATGATTCAATATATTGTGACAGCCAATGATATTATTATGAGACTTTTGACGATACGATATCACGATATTTCGGTTATTGTTACATCCCTATTGGTGACGTCAGCTGCAAAGTAGTAATCTATCCATCCATCTATCTATCTATCTAACTTCTTCGGAGATTACCACTATGACTATTCCAGCACTTCCACCACCTGGGCAAACGTATGTACAGTATGCTCCTAACAGGCTGAAGTTGCACAACCATCTGCATATTCTCCTGGATTAATTTGGCCGGATCAAGGCTGGGATCTGAATAAAACATGGTGGGGACAGACGTGAGGTTGTGGTGGAGGAAGACGTGAATGAGCGTCTTGTCTGATTCTCGGGAGCTGAGGAAACGCTGTGTTCTCCCATGAGTCACCGGGGCCCGCTACGAGCCAAAAGCAATCACAGCCGCGCCAAAAATGACAGTTTCACATTCACGGCCATTGATTGCAGAGATGGAAAAATTAGCCAGCGTTATATATTGCTCATTTGTATTCTCTTACCATTCATGATCATTCATTCAAGGATGTCCTCTCCAAAGAGTTACTTGGCCTATGAAAATGCAGCTGCCCTAATTTGTCTTAGTTTGAATTTTGGACATTTCTAAACCTGTAGCCTATGGGTGATGTATTGTGAAGAATGGAAATTTGTCCGCAACATTTGAACTATATCCTTCGATGTTTAGACAACCTTTGAGGAGTGGTGGGTGTAAAGCAGATCTTACTCCAGAATTGTGAGGCGTTCCCAAGATCGACCTTCTTCACAAACTCCTCAGTTATACATGGACAAGACTGTCAGAAACATGGAATTCTCCAGCTATCACCAACACAGAATTTACCATATTTTTCAGACTATAAGTGCGACTCCAGTGCGATTTATATTATAAAGTTTTCACACTGACAGCCTTGAGAGGGCGCTCTAAGCTTGTGTGCCAGTATCTACTACTGCTGTACCATTGTCACTTGGCGCCCTACTCTGCATGTCTCCTGCATGTGTCCTGCTGCAAGTAGTGAAATATGAGTCTGATGACAGTTACGCAGAAGAGGAAGCAGCTCTCCGTTTAACTCTGGAGGTTGTGGAGTTGCTCAAATGTGACACAGGGGATGAAGAATTCAATGGATTTAGTGATTTAGAGTGAGATGGAGAGTTTGGTAAACTTGTTCTGTTGTTTATGCTATAGTTATCTGAAAAACTGTTCATATGTGACGTTAACAGTCTGTTGTTCTCTATTCTATTGTTATTACTGTAACTTCCCTTTTAAGATGAAATGTCTCTGGTCTCTGATTTTATAAAATAAATATCCCCCAAAAAGTGCAAATTATAATCCGGTGTGACTTATATATGTTTTTTCTTCTTCATTACATGTTTTTTGGCTGGTGCGACTTATACTTATAGTATAAGGTAATCGATTGCCTAAATTTTTTTGAGTTCAGGTAACATATTTGAGTTTACAGTGTAGATTTTCCTTTAAAAGGTCCCATTTTACGAAATATTCACTCTTGTGATCTTTAAGCCATGTTAGAATGCTGTTACCTCATCAAAAACAAACCTGGAGTTGTGTTTTGTTTCATTCACACATATTTTTGTAACCATTCATTATTGTCTACATCTCCAAAGCTCAAAATGCTCTGTTCCACTTTGTGATGTCATGTAATGGTAATTTTCAAGCTAACAACGATCTTTTACCAAATGTTCAGTTTTGATTGGCAATTTGAGGGCTGAAATTATCCAAATGATTCTAGAGAAGGTGGACAAGGTGGAAGAGAGACTTTTCTGTTTAAGAGAAGAACGCAGCATAAATATGCAGGATTTGTGTGTTAAAGAGGAAGAAACAACATTATAACATAGATCAGAAATAGATGGGGCCTTTAAAATAAATAAACAAATAGAAAGCATGAAGTGCCCTGTCAAGACACACAACAGCATTATGACATTATGTAATTGTGGTCACAGTAACAAAACCTCGAGTGAATGGTTTAGCAAGCCT